ATCTCTGTACAATCAACTCAGATCCACCACAAACTTCACAACTCAAAAGCACTTACCTCTAGTCCTGGCACAAAGAGCGAAAACGTTCTGTACGTCGGGCAAAACTTACCGTCACAGCTGACAGAATGCCGATTCAAAAACCACAAACATTTCAAAAGTTGAAATACATAACCCGAATCAGCCTTTCCTCCTTCAGTCAGCTGTGAAGAAAAGCCCGCCGGCTCCTACCAATGACTCGCCATTTTGTTATGGAAATTCGCTTGGTTCAACACACAAATCCATGCGGCACTAAACTGCGCCAAAGTATGCCAAACGCAAAGAATTCCCCCTCCCCCCGTGCTTAAAAGCACAGTTGTATTAAAGGAGAACTATTTGGTTAAGGCTTTTCCCCATAGTTCTCCTTAGGGTAACGGGAGGACACAAACTAGCGTCCTCCCGTTACCTTAAGCTCAGTATATAGGGAGCTGTAGCTCGCAGTATACTGAGACGCCGCAGCTGAAGCGGATCCCGACAATTATGTCTGGATCCGCCCAGCTGCGTGAGTGACAGCTGGCTCTGCCTATCTAGAGGCAGAGCCAGCTGTACCCGCCCCCTCCCCCGTCCGTTCTGCCAGTCATCGCTGGCAGATCGGAGCGGGGAGAGGGGAATCCAGCCCCTCCCCCTGTCACGGCAGAGAGCCGTGACAGGATCGAGAGGTGAGCGAACGCCGGTATGTGTTCGCTCACCTCCCGATCTACTGAGCCGACCTGTGACAGTCTCATTGTCACAGGTCGGCTAGAACTATGAGGTGAGTGAAAAGCACTCGCCTCATAGTTCTCCTTTAAGCTCTTTTGTGCAAGGACTGGAAGTACCCCTGTAGAGTCAGGACACAGGACATGTTTTCATCGTGGAGTCAGTGTAGCAAGCCCCGAGCAGACTAGGGTTGCCACCTGTCCAGAATTCACCCGGACAGTCCGGGTTTTGAATGCTGTGTCCGGGTTTCAGCTGCCATGAAATCCGGACACCTCATTCAAAAGATGTCCGGCAGACAGAGGCAAACAAAATTAAGATAGGGGCTACTGGCCCCCCACTGAAAATAGTCTCGACTGTGATATTTACATATGAATGGGTAGAGCTATTTATATATGAATAAGCCTGCGAATCATTCTCCCAAAAAAGATGTCTGTGCGTCACTAGAGTGTTCGGGTTTCACTGGAAGAAAAGGTGACAACCCTAGAGCAGACCACCCCCCCAGCTCCTTCATTTATTAAGGTCAAAGGACGATGCTCAGTGGGAGACGGCTTTACAACATTAGCCAGTCAGCCCAGCAAGTACAGGTACACATCAAAAGGAAAAGGGGAATACACTAGGGTCGCCACCTTTTCTTCAAGCGAAACCCAAACACTCTAGCGACGTGCGGACATTTTTTGGGGAGAATGAGTCGCGGCTTATTCATATGTAAATATCACAGTTGAGACTATTTTCAGTGGGGGGCCAGTAGCCCCTATCTTAATTTTGGTTGCCCCTGTCTGCCTGACATCTTGTGTCCGGGTTTCTGCTGCCATGAAACCCGAACACAGCATTCAAAACCCGAACTGTCCGGGTGAATCCTGGACAGGTGGCAACCCTA